TACAGATAAATGTTGAATACATCTAGAATTCATTTTTGTATATTGTATAAGGTAGGGATTCAATTTCACTTGGATAATCAATTGTCCCAGAACAAGTTATTAAACAGTTTATCCTTAACCTATTGACCTGTAATTACTACTGTGTCACAAATGAACTTTCCAGAGAGGAAACTATTCCTGTTTGCTATTCTGTATGGCTATTGATACACCAATATCAGACTGTTTTAATTGCTACAGAGATAATAAGTCTTGATATTTGATAGGGCACATTTTCTCCCTTTTTCTTCTTCAGCAATGTCTTCACTATTTTAATTCTTGGCTCATTCACGTCAATTTTAGAATCACTTTGTCAATTTGCGTGAAAAGCCCTGTTGGGATTTTTATTGAAATGCATCGAATAATTAGCTGGGCATGATGGCGTGTGCCTGTAATCCCAACTACTCAGGAGGCTGAGGCAGGAGAATTGCCTGAACCCAGGAGGCGGAGGTTGCGGTGAGCCGAGATGGCGCCATTGCACTCCAGCCTGGGTAACAAGAGCGAAACTCCGTCTCAGAAAAAAAAAAAAAAAAAAAAAAAAAAAAAAAAAAAAAAAAAGAAATGCATCGAATCTATAGATTCAATTAACATCTTTGAAATATTATCTTCCTATCCTAGAATATAGCATGTTAACTTATTTACGTCTTTAAAATACTTTTTCAATGAAGTTTCATATGGGTTTTTCACACTTTTTCTTAGGTCTATTTCTGAGTGTTTCATATGTTTGTGGCTCTCCAAAATGATACCTGTTTAAAGTCACATTTTCTAATTGACTATAGCTGTTCATGAAAATACAAATAATTTTTTAATGCGGATTATTTTATTCAGAACTTCTGTTAAATTGTTTTGTTAATTAGCATACTTTATAGATTATTTGGTTTATGTTGGTAATTACACCATCCGCAGTAACGCCAGCTTTGCTTCTCTCTTTCCAATCCTTATGTATTCATTCCACTGACTAGTAGCCCCAGTACAATGATAGTTTCTGTAAGTGATGACAGTAACAATTGGTCTTGCTTCTGACTTCAAAGAGAATGCTTTCAACATTTCAACGTTAATTATAATGTTTCCTGCAGGTCTTTCTAGATGCCCTTTCTAGGGTTATGAATGTTTCCTTGTTTTTCTAGTTAACTGTTTGTTTGTTTGTTTTCGAGACACAGTTTCGCTCTTTCACCCAGGCTGGAGTGCAGTGGCACGATCGGCTCACTGCAATCTCCGCCTCCTGGGTTCAAGTGATTCTCCCCCCTCAGCCTCCTGAGTAGCTGGGATTACAGGTGCATGCCATCATGCCTGGCTAATTTTTGTATTTTTAGTAGAGACAGAGTTTCACCATGTTGGAAAGGCTGGTCCCAAACTCTTGACCTCAGGTGATCCACCCACCTTGGCCTCCCAAAGTGCTAGAATTACAGGTCTGAGCCCACTGTGGGCCAACTAACAGTTTTTTAAAATCGCAAATATAAGAGCAAACATTTATTACCACGCATATTACCACAATATTGTAAATTAAAAGAATTTACATATGTAAAGCATTTAGAAAAGATTGTTCTAAATGCTTTACATATGTAAATTCTTTTAATCCTCACAACTTCATAGGTAATAATGCCTATGAAGAAGATATTATTATTTTTATCTGTATAGATAAGAAAGGAAACTGAAGCTCCAAGAGATTAAATGCTTTGCTGAAGGTTATAAAGTTTCTTAATCGTATAATCAGCATTCAAAACCAGGCTGTCTGGCTGGAGTCCCTCTTATAACACTCTGCTACCTCTCACTGGATGATGAATTTTATTGAATTTTTTATCCACATCTATGAGGCGATTGTATGGTTTTCCCATTTATCAGTGTGGTGAATTATGTTAATCATGTTTTTAATATTAATCCCATTTTGCAACTCTGGTATAAATCTATCTTGGTCATAATGTTAAACATGTTTCCTTCTTGCTGAATTCAATTCACTGACGTTTGTTAAGAATTTCGTTGAAGACTTTGCATCTATATTACTAAATTAGATTAGCCTGTAAATTTCCTCCTTGTGATTCTAGTGTCAACATTAGGCTAATTTCATTTAGTAAATTGAGGAGTATATTAGTCAGCTGAGGCTGCCACAACAAAATATTATAGATTGGGTGGCTTCAACAACAGAAATTTGTTTCTCCTGGTTTTGGCCAGCACCTACCCTCCTGCAGCTAACGTTCCAGCTGGAGAGACAGACAAAGATACCGAAAAGACAAAGAATGAACTGGTAGATGCATTCCTTTAACGTGGCGAATGCTACGGGGATGCCTGTTATTTATGCTACAGTTACAGTGTTGGAAGCAGTAGTCAATGCAAAGGGTGAGGAAAATTAGGGTGCAAAAAACAGGAAGAGGAAGAGAAGAAGTGAAACTGCATTATTTGCAGATGACAGGATAAAATACTTAGACACTGAAAAGCTTTGACAAACTATTATAACTAATACGTTTAGTAACATTGCTGAATACAATATTAACTTTAAAAAAATCAGTATCAGTGTTTTACACCATTAGTAACCACTCTGCTGTCCACTGCCAAAAGAGACCACTGCTTTCGACTGTCCCAGGCCTCTGAGGGCAGGAACTCTGCTTCCATCGTGGTTGGCACCCAGAGCACACATACGCCTGCAAATCTGGTCCAGGAATGTGTCCCTTTGGCATTAGACCAAAGGGCTGGGACAGCTATGGAGGTCACCTTGAGTTGTCCGCACTGAATCCTTGCCAGCGATTGAACCCAGCCTGTGCTTCCCAACCTCCATGACTTCGCTCATGGTGTTCTCTGCCCCGATGCCCCCTTGCCCATTTTTGCCCCGATGCCCCCTTGCCCATTTTTGCCTGTCCAGTTGCTACTTCTCCCTCAAGGATGTTAGCACTTCAGGAAGCCGTCCTCGATGTTCTCAGCCGGCAGCGTCTCTCCTCCTCTGCCCTCCTCTGGGCTTGACTGCTGCCTTCTTAGAGTATGCATCACAGGCTACCTTGGATTGTGGCTTTTGGTATACAAGTCTTGCCTCCCTGCCATGGGTCCCTTGGCGATAGGACTCAGGTCTGAGTCATCTTCATCTCTGCCTCCACGGCGCCTGATCCAGGCTCACCAAAGAAATGAAGGTATCTCATGAAGCCATCCTGGGTTACAGTCTTTTGTCCTTATATTGACTCAAAAGATCAGTCCCCAGTACCCCGCCCTTAGAGGTGCAGAAAGGTCTCTCTTCTCATCCTTAATATGAGTGTCTGCTCAGAGCTAGGCATGCCGCGGGCACTAGGTCACCCACTCTGTGCAAATGACCTCTTCTCTGCATTTCTGAAATCACAGACTATTGGCCTGAGGCTCTGCCCTCCTTCAACTCCAGGACCACACAGCAGGGAAAGCACTCACCAGAACAGCCCCACAGAGGCTGAGGTGTCAAGCAATTGCCTCTCAGTTTCTGAGAACTCCCTTTTTCCCTATGGCCCTGCTGTGACAGCAAGGTAGAGATAACCAGAGAAATTCCAAGGAAAATAGCTCATGCAGGTTTCTTTGGTGGGGGAAGGAATGCACTATAAAAAGTCATCTGGTCCACGCCCCTGCCTCTTGGTCTATTTTGGGTGAACAGTTCTCTCTCCGATTCAAGGAGCCCTCCCTTGGTCACCTAGTCTCACTCTTCAGAAACGGGTTTTGACATCAATCCCTCCTCGTGTGATAAAAGCTTCTTCCTTCCTGCAGCTGACCAGCAGTTAGTGGCAAAGGGGGGTTGTGGGGAGCAGAAGCCAGGATCTGAGCAGAGCGAGTGAAAGGCAGACAGTGTTCTAGCCCATCGGGTCACCTGCTGGCCTCAGAGCTGATGCCCTGGGAGAGAGTGGGGCTCGGCCTTCCTCAGGGCTCCTTCCTTCCTTTTGGCTCCTGGAAACTGGAGTTACTTCCTGGCAGCCTGAGAGTTTTGGGGCCGTGGATTGAGAATAAGGGAGTGTGAGGGAGTGCAGGGGTTCTGGGGGTGGTGGCGGGGTGACCCGCCTGGGAAGGGGAGGCAGCCCATCCCTCCCGTGACATGGGGCAGTGGGGCTGTGGAGAGAAGCTCAGGAGGCCTCACGGAGCCTGAGTGAGAGTCACGCCCTCAGGCACTTGATGGTCTCTTTCATCCCTTTGGATGGGGCTCAGATCATGGAGTAGGATTCTCCCCAGCTCAGGCTGTTTCTCAACCTGGAGAGTGACAGACAAACGACAGCCCTGGGCAACCCCAGCCCTGTGGTCCCCACACGTAACACCTGGGGAGTTCTCCGGCCCTGCTGCTCACAGGATTCCTGGCAGCCAGGAGTGCAGGAGGCGGGCCAGGAGGAAGAGAGGCGTCTCCATGACCCACGAAGCCTTCTTGCCTTTCTCCCTCTTGCCACTAGCTGTGCAGGTCAGGGCTGCAGGAGAATCCAGTTCTGAGCCCATTCTTCCCTCCAACCAGAACCCACCCATCCTCCCCACCGGAGCCCGGAATAAAGGCTCTGCTTTGGGAGTCTTTCCTCCAACACACCCACCCCCAGTAAATTTGCAAATGATCTGCTCATATAAGCCTAATGTTTTAATGAAGAAAAGTACAGAGAGAACATGCCACGCCCCTGTGCCCACCCCCCCACACGCCCTCGATGCCCTAGTCCTCACCCAGGTCCTCTGACCTCTCCTCTTTCTTCCCTGGAGTCACAGCAGGTCCAGCTGTGCCCACCCTCCCTCCAAGGGGCTCAGTCCAGGAAAATAAGGAGCTGGCCCATCCTGCAGGCAGGTGCCCTCTGGAGCTCCTGAAGCGAAGAAGAAAGAAACCCACATGGTGAGGGTCCAGGAGGTCTGCTGTCATTCTGCTGAGTGACTTAGCTTGGAGCCAGAAGGTGGAATGCCCTCCTCCCTTGTTTTTCTTCCCCAAGGACTTCATGTCTTCCTGGCCAAAACGTCACTAGAAGTCTTCTCACTTCCGTCTGCCTGGGGCTCTGGGCATGGCCTCCATCCTTTGGGACTGGCTTCCTGGGCCAGTGCAGGTGTCAGAAGTGAAGCTCGGAGGGTCCAGGACCATCCCAGGGTGAGGTGGAGCTAGGAGCTGGATTCTGCAAGACACAGGGTATTCCCATTGGTCCAGTACGGCAGCCACCCCACCCCACACCTGCCTAGTGGTGAAGAAAACTCCGCATGGGGTTCAGGCTACGGGCTCTGCTGTCAGGGAGTGTGGGTTCAAATTCGGAGCCACCAGTGCCCTCTGAGCTTGGGTAAAGCCGTTTGCTGGCCCCTTGGGGAACTATAACCACCCCCAATAGCAGCTTCTTTCCAGGACTCTATGTGTATGCCAGCTGGGGTGCTTCGAGAGTGGCTTCCCGAATGCCTAAGCATCGGCGCTGCAGAGAGGAGAAATGCTCTGCTCCGGTGCAGAGGAGCCGTTTCTGCACAAAGCTCAGTTGAGGGTTGCCTTCTATTGCTATTCAAAATATAAGGTGTTTTAAGTACGATTGAAGGAAAAAATTTTATTTACATATGTTATTTGCGCTACCGAAAAGGAGACTACCAGTGAGCGAATCGGCATGGCTTTCTGGGCACTAAGTGTCTGTATCTGGACATATTTAAGAAAGAGCAAAACAGACACCTGTTCATCTCCCAGCCTGCCACGTGTCACGTGCCCCACTGGGAAGCTTGCATGGACAGTACACAGCCCTTCAATCCATGGTTGTTCACCAACTTCAAATACCTCATTTTAACATCGGCCAGGCGTGGTGGCTCATACCTGGAATCCCAGCCCTTTGGTGGGCCGAGGCAGGGGGATCACCTGAGGTCAGGAGTTTGAGACCAGCCTGGCTAACATGGTGAAACCCCGCTTCTACTAAAAATACAAAAAATTAGCTGGGTGTGGTGGCAGGCACCTGTAATCCCAGCTACTCAGGAGGTTGAGGCAGGAGAATCGCTTGAACCTAAGAGGTGGAGGTTGCAGTGAGCCGAGATGGTGCCATTGCACTCCGGCCTGGGCAACAAGAGCAATACTCCATCTCAATAAATCAATGAATGAATTAGTTAAAAAGTGGGCAAATCAAGACCCCAGGTGGGCCAGTGCTGGTCAGTTAAATAACTGAAAGTTCACAGTCAGGCAGAGAGTCCCGGTCTCCTGACCCCTGGCTGAATCCCTCTAGTCCCTGCCCCCGGAGGTTCTCTGAAGGCAGGCAGGTGGCTGCTCTCCTGGCTCTCCTTCCTGTCCCACTGCCAGGGCAGCCACCATTACCTATGACAATGAGGGTGGCCGTGCTGACCGCCTGGCCCAGCGTGTTCTCGGCCACAGCCTTGTACTCGCCGCTGTCCTTCGGGGACACGCTGGGGATGGTGAGGGAGCAGACGCCCAGCAGGTCGGTGCTGTACACCCCGGGGCTTCCTTCCAGGCTTTGGTCGTCCTTGAACCAGGTGACGTGGGGCCGGGGCGAGCCCTGCACCGCGCAGCTCATGCAGCACTCACAGCCCTGAGGCAGCAGGTGGGACCGCAGGCCCACCAGGAACCGGGGCTTCTGGCTCAGATCGGGTTCCCGGTAGCTCGGAGCCTTCACTGTGAACCTGTCTGTGGTGAAAACCGCGGTCAGAGGGAGGAGGGTGAGAAAGTGAGGAAGGCCCGGCTGAAGCCCAAGTCTGGTAGAGAGCTCACGATGCTACCACGTAGGCCTTACCTGGGGCTTCCTGCCTCATCTGGCCTGCCGATTTGGACCCCAAGGCTTGACACATTCTACCCTTCTCCTAAAATTCTTTATGGATTTTTTTTTACTACATGCTAACACACATTCACTGTGGACAACTTAGAATACACAGAGAATCAAAGGAGAAAGAATAAAAATCAGTCATAACTCACTACCTGTAGATGACCACAGCTGATGTTTTGGTGGAGAGCTTTCCTGATCTGTTTGTATTTTATGAAAACGAGACCGTCATCTGATTTTACAGTCTACTTTTCCAGTGACTGATCTTAAGGTCCACATCTACTTGGTTGCAGAATACATTTTGTTGGATGGGCGCAGTGGCTCATGCCTGTAATCCCAGCACTTTGGGAGGCCGAGACAGGCAAATCATGAGGTCAAGAGACTGAGACCATCCTGGTTATCACGGTGAAACTCCATCACTACTAAAAAATACAAAAAATTAGCTGGGCTGTGGTGGTGCGCACCTGTAGTCCCAGCTACTTAGGAGGCTGAGGCAGGAGAATCACTTGACCCAGGGAGGCAGAGTTGGAGTGAACGTACATCGCACCACTGCATGCCAGCCTGGGAGACAGAGCAAGACTCCGTCTCAAAACACACACACACACACACACACACACACACACACACACACACACTCTGTTTCTCAGAGAAATGTTAACCTCTGTTCACCTTATTTTCTAAGGTTACTTTTGAAGTTTCTCCCAAAGGCATCTCAGACACCCAGACACCCACACCCATCTCGTTCTCCCCACGGAGGTCAGGGGTGCAGAGGATCTCAGTACAGGTGTGTGTGAGGCAGGTGTGGGAGGAGCAGCAGCTCAGGGCTGCTGGCTGTTATTTGGCGTGCTCCGGGCCAACTCGGCCACAGCCCCGATCCTGCGCGCCTGCTATACTTGGGTGCACCCCGCTGCAGTGCCGAGCGCAGCCCCCACCCTGCCTGCTCCCCGCTCTCAGGGGCTGCTTACCGCGCTGCCGGGGGATGCACCAGGGCTGGCTAGTGTCCGAGGGTTTGCTGGTCCCCAGCTCATTCTTGGCCACCACCCTGAAGTAGTACTCATGGCCGGGGACGACGCCCAGGAGGGTGAAGCGGTTTGTGTGGATCCGGTCGGCCGCCTCGCGCCAGGGGCCGTGCGCGGAGGAGCGCGTGAGTACCGCGTAGTGCAGCGGGACACCCCGGGCCTCGTCTGGAGAGGGCTCCCACTCGGCCGTGACCGTTCCAAGCACGTTCTCCTGCAGGTGGATGGGCCCAGGCGCCTGCGGGCATGCTTCAAGAGAGACGGCAGAGGGAAGTCACATGGAGGGGACCCAGCAGGGCTGCTGCCAGCCCCCTCCAGGTCCCAGGTCTTCTCAGGGTCCTGGGGAACGCAGTCTTGTCACCACGTAGGTAACTGGAGCCAGAGTGAGCTTAGCCAGAGGTCCAAAGTTATCTCTAGAGGGTAGAATATCTCCCCAAAAGAGTAATTTTAATTCACTTCAGTTTTTAAGTAAAATGATCCAGGACAAGGTCCGCATTTTTGGACGGAGGCAGGGCTCTCCTGAGGCTGCATTGTTACTCTCTTTGCTCATTTCTGGATATCCAGAAACTCCTCCAGGGCAGGGGCTGTGTGGAGCCGTGGCTGGGGAGGAAAGCCTTTATTCTGCACAAGGGCTGCCTACAATTCTGCGCCCTGGGTCGTGGGCATGAAGTAAGGGCAGTGACTGCCTCTGCTCACTCACTCGAAGAGAAGGGTAACTGAGGCTGGAGAGGAGACACGACATGACTGTCTCTAGGCTCCTGAGGCAGAACAATGGAAGTCCCCAGGGAATCTTCCTGGGTCTTTTCTACTTTCTATCACCAAGCACGGAGGAGAGGTGGAGAATGGCGTCACCTTGCATACCCAGCCCTGGTAGCGTGGCTGAGACCTATGACCAGAGCAGTGGATACCTCCTTGCTCTGGTGAGTGGCCGAGCCAGCGTCCCGAGCCCAGAGCCAGGCCTGCCTCACCTGCCACCCTGATGCGGAAGCTGTGGGCAACCTCCTTCCCCTGTGGGGTCCTCAGCGCCACAGTGTAGAGACCGCTGTCCGAGAGGCTGGCTACAGGGATCAGAAGCTGGGTGAGGCCATCCTTGGTGATGGTCACACTTCTTTTGGGCAAGGGCAAGCCATCCTTCAGCCAGGTCACCTCAGGCATGGGCACAGCCTGAGAAAGGAGAGGAAGGAAAGGTTGCGAAGGGGCAGCTGGCAGTTTCACGGAAGGGATGGCACTTAAGGTAGGCTGAAGGTGGAAGCGGAGAGAAGAGCCTTCTACGGGGGGAAAGTTGACAGGAAAATACAGGGGGAAAGAAGGGTGGTGATTAGGTGTGAGCTTGGCAGGTGGGGATGGTAGCGGGTTGGTGGAGTAGGAAAGGAAGTTGGACGGGAGGTTCAGCAAAAATCCAATGTGCCTTCCACGTCACACCTGGACAGATGTCTGGATGTTATCCTATAAGCCAGGAGCTGCTGTTGTCAGATCTGAGCGGGAAAGCATAATGAGTTCTGGATTCACATGGCAGGGGGTGGGATGGGAATGAGAAGGGACTTGTGGGGAGGGGAGCGTTAACCACCTTGGCACCCAAGATGACGTCGGAGATAATTTGGGAATCCCAGCAATAGTCCAGGAGGAGGATTGTGGTGTCCTGGCCTTGAACTGTAGTGACCCTGAGCAGGGTGGGAAGACCACCCCAGCTGCCTGGTGACTGTGCCACCAACTCCCTACAGAGCTCTCAGTACAGGGCACGTTGGGCATCAGAGTCAAATGAAGATGCTGATAGTAACTAACTAACCCCATGGGATTGTTCTGAGATTTTAAGGCATTAATACATGGAGGTCAGGCATGGTGGCTCACGCCTATAATCCCAGCACTTTGGAAGGCCAAGGAGGGTGGATCACCTGAGGTTGGGAGATCCAGATCAGCCTGACCAGCATGGAGAAACCCTGTCTCTACTCAAAATACAAAATTAGCTGGGCATGGCGGGGCATGCCTGCAATCCCAGCTACTTGGGAGACTGAGTCAGGAGAATCGCTTGAACCTGGGAGGCAGAGGTTGTGGTGAGCCGAGATCACACCATGGCACTCCAGCCTGGGCAACAAGAGTGAAACTCCATTTCAAAATACCAATAATAATAATAATAATAATAATAATAATAGGTGAAAAGCAGAGAGAACAAGACCCAGGACATGGTAACTACTCAGTGTGTGTTAAATATTCTTGTCGTTATTGCTGTCTTATTATGGTTAAGAACAAGTTCTCTGAGTAAGATAGACAGGTTTGAACCTTGCTCTGTGTGCTCTGACTTTCCTCCACAGACGCTGACGATTTTAAACAATACGAACAATAAAAATATTCAAACATATTGGGTGCTGCCATATGCCTGGCCCTACTTACGCACTTTCAATATAGTAATTCCTTGAACCCTCAGAACAACCCTTGGAGATAGATTACTGTTATTATGCCCTTTTGACAGATGAGGAAGGTGAAACACAGAGACATTAAGATATTTGTGCAGGCCGGGAGCGGTGGCTCACGCCTGTAATCCCAGCACTTTGGGATACTGAGGCAGGTGGATCATCTGAGGTCAGGAGTTCGAGACCAGCCTGGCCACCATGGTGAGACCTCGTCTCTACTAAAAATACAAAAATGAGCCAGGCATGGTGGCATCTGCCTGTAATCCCAGCTACTTTGGAGGCCGAGGCAGGAGAATTGCTTGAACCCAGGAGGCGGGGGTTGCGGTGAGCCAAAATCGCACCACTGCACTCCAGACTGGGAGACAGAGCAAGACTCCATCTCAAAAAAACAAACAAACAAACAAAAAAAAACCATATATTATATACATATTTGTCCAAAGTCAAACAGCTGTGAGTGATGATGTTGGAATTTGAACATGAACAGTTTGTACTTTTAGCCACCACCCTACTGTTGTAAAGTCAGGTGGTGTTGGTGTTGGTTGAGGTCACTCTGAGTTAAATGCAGGTCGCATGCTTGCACAAAAATACATTGTGAAGTCAAAGGGGATTATTTGCACGGCAGGCTCCCGGAATTCCCAGACTCAGGTGAACAGGAAGAGCCCGAGTTTGGAGGTGCAGTACCAGAAGCTACCACTAGAGAGATTTGCAGGCCTGGAGCAGAACGGCCACCCAGCGGCCAAGCGAGGGCGGTACCTTCGAGGAGGACCTGAATCCTTCCATCATCATTTCTCGCCTGATTTCCACAAGCCCGGGGCACTGACTAGGGGCCCAAAAGGAACAGGGAAGAAAAGAGAGCCACAGGGCTGAGTCTGGCCCCTTGGCATCTCTGGGTTTCCCTCCCCACACCTCTGTAGGTACACTCACTTCAAAGGAGACAGGCACACGGACAGTGTCTCCAACCTTGACCGTCAGCAAGTCCTTGGTGCTGGAGTCCATGAGGAACTTGGGACAGACTGAAACACACAAGAGGACTGGTTACCTCCGTCCTCCCTTGCGGTGGGACTCCTGGTCCCCCGCAAGGTCGGGCTGGAGGGGAAGACTGGGCCAGTTGGATTGATGCTGAGATCCCAACACACTGGGGTCTCTGAAGGACTGGAGTGCAGCTGGGAGCAGGGGGACCCCAGGGGTTCCCAACTGGAGTGCAGGGGGACCCCAGGGGATGATGGGGAGATGCTCGCAGGGGAGGGACAGGAGCTGAGAAAGGGATGCTGCAGGGAGAGGGGTGGGCTAGGCTGGAACAGAGGAAGATGCTGATCTGTGATCTGTGACGGGGCGCTTATGTTTTGCAGTTGAGATAACCACCGATCTAAGACAGGCAGTGACTTCCTGAGGTCACACCCTGTTCGGGAGGGAGCCAGGACAAGATTCTGGGAGTCTGGACTCCGTGTGCTGTATATGCGTCTCCCTACTGTCACAGTGACGGCTAGGGTCAGTGTCAGCTTGGGTCAGAGGCAGCTCAGGGGCTTGTAGGGGTTAAAGCCCCAAGGCAAAGACAATCCTCCTTTCAGTGATAACGGGGAGCTGGGCATGTCCCATTCTGAACGTGAACCCCGGGAGCTGAGCCGCACGTAGGCCCTCTAGGGCCATGCCCAGGAAGCAGCAGCCCTCTCTCCCGGACAACATCAACTTTGGAGTCTCCAGGTTTAAATCCTGGCTCTACCACATACCATGGGTGACAATTTGGGCAAAGTACCTTGAACCTCAGTTTTCTTCTCTGTAACTTAGGAATAAAAACATTAACCTTGTAGCAGAGTTGAAATGAGAAAACATTTCTCAGAAGGAACTGCCTAGCTCAGTGCCCAGCACATAGTAGGTGCTCAATAAATGTTGCTTGCTGAAACTGAGGGTGGGGATCCTGGCTCAGCAAGTGCATGGCGGCTGCTCAGGGGCCCCCTCTCAGGAGCGGCGTGCAGGGCTCAGGGGTTGGAGGAGCGGGCAGCACTCACCGGTAATGGGCATGGCTTGCACCAGCGTGTCCAGGGCAGTGGGCTGGCTCTGGCCTCCTTCGTTAACTGCTGTCACCCGCACAAAGTAGCCCTCTTTGGGCCGAAGCCCCTTGGCTGTGTAGGTGGTGGCTGGCATGGTGCCCGCATGGCATGGAAGCCATTGGAGGCTGTCTGAGCCACATAGCTCTACCACGTATCCCTGGGCTTCATCCCCGTCCTGCGTGTCCGGCCCGGCCCAGCTCAGGGTGATGCTGGTGTTTGATGTGTCTGTGACTTGGAGATTCCGTACCGGCCCAGGGGGTCCTGCAGGGCCGCATGGGAGCGTCAGGAAGGGCATCTCCTGAGGGAGGTCACTCAGCATGCATATTGATTAGCTTTCCTTGTGGGAGGCTGGGAATTTTTTTCACTTAGCAATTCTGCCTTTAGATTCTTCGTGAAGCACCTATCTTGATCCAAAATCCCTTTTTTTTTTTTTTTTTCTTAAGATGGAGTCTCCCTCTGCCTACCAGGTTGGAGTGCAGTGGCCTGATCTCAGCTCACTGCAACCTCCGCCTTCTTGGATTCAAGTGATTCTCCTGCCTCAGCTTCCTGAGTAGCTTGGATTACAGGTGAACACCACCTCGCCTGGCTAATTTTTGTATTTTTAGTAGAGATGGGGTTTCACTAGGCTGGTCTCGAACTCCTGACCTTGTGATCTACCTGCCTAGGCCACCCAAAGTGCTGGGATTACAGGTGTGAGCCTTGATCCAAATTCTTATTCTAACCAGTACTTTGTTATGCGCACAGATCCCAGGCCACCTCCCCCAGGAAGCCTTCCCCAACCCATTCTCCTCATTCCTTCACCAACCTGCCAAATGCCTTCTCCTAAATATCCTTCTGTAATTCCTGAAAACCGATATTTTAGTTGATGACCTCTGGGGTTCCATTATCCCGCAAGACTAGACTTCGTTGTGTTTGGATTCTGGACTCTAAGCTCTCAGGGTCAAGCCTGTGCCTTTTGGGGATGCCAGTGCAGGCTTCCTGTTTTCCACTTGCTGTGTGAGAACAATAGTAACAGCCCACCGACCCACAGAGGTTTTAGAACAAGCAAAAAGCACAATGAGTGTGAAAGGGCATGGAAATTGCCCAGCAGTCTAGGGTTCCAGCCCTCAAGCCTGGCTGCACATTGGAATCACCTGGCGAACTTAAATATACTGGCACCTAGATGCCACCCCAGAGATTCTGACGTAATTAGTCTGGGGTCCAGTCTAGGGATCTACATTTTTAAGAGCTTTCCAGGTGTTTCTGAATATGCAGTGAAGTTTGAAAACCACTGGGCTAGGGCAGTCCTTCTCAAACTTTAATTAGTATAGAAGTTATCGGGGCGTTTTGGTAAAAATACAGACCCTGATTCAGTAGGTCTGGGGTGACGCCTGAGATTCAGCATTTCGCATGAGTTCTCGTAAGGTGATGTTGCTGGATCGTGGACCTTGCTCAGCAGCAAGAATCCAGAAAACGTAGTGACTGCTGTGACTACTGTTAGACACTGCTTATCCCATCTGTTGTCTTCACTCCGCACCACTGATCAGAGAGGTTAACAGGCTGCAAGCCTGAGGCTCACGCCTGTAATCCCAGCACTTTAGGAGGCCGAGGCAGGAGGATAGCTTGAAAGCAGGAGTTCAGGACCAGCCTAGGCAATATAGTGAGAGCCTGTCTCTACAAAAACAAATTAGCAGGTCATGGTGACATAAGCTGATAGTTCCAGCTGCTCAGGAGGCTGAGGCAGGAGGATTGCTTGAGCCCAGGAGTTGGAGGCTAGAGGGAACCAAGATTGCATCAGTGCACTCCAGCCTGGGTGAAAGAGTGAGACCCTGTCAAGCAAGAAAGGAATGAAAGGAAAGAAAGAAGAGAAAGGAATGAAAGGGAAAAAGGAAAGAAGGAGGGAGAGAAAGAAAGAAAGAAGAAGGAAATAAAGAAAGGAAGGAAGGGAGAAAGAAGGAAAGAAAGAAAGAGAGAAGGAGGGAGGGTTGGTGCTCCTGGGTTGGTGCTCTACTTACTCATGGGGTCCCGAGCAAAGACGGCATCTGACGGGGGCCCAGGCTCTCCGGGGCCTGAGGGAGCCACAGCGGTGACCCGGAACTCGTACTGACAGCCCTGCTGCACGTCCGCCACCGTCCACTTCCTCTCTGTGAACAGCCCGCCCACGTGAGTCCCACCCTGATGGGGCTGGACATGGGAGAAAGCTTGGGCGCCTCCGAGTTCTGAAGGAGACCAAGACTGGGGTTCTAACACATCCCTCCCTGCAACCGCCACCCGCTGCGACTCAGCTCTCTCCAAGGTGGAAAGGGCACCGCTCACAGCTTCAGGGGCCCCAGAGCCCTAGCTGGTTCCACCACTGACTTGCTGGGTGTTCTCGGGCAGGTGCCTTAATATCCCTGGTTGTCTCTGCCTTATAGAGTTGCTGTCATATTTAAGTAAAGCAGAATCACTAAATAGTGAAATTGGAAGGATGCCTTTCGTTCATCTCTCTCTTTCCAGAGATAAGGAAACTGAAGTCCTGACAGGCCTTAGCTTCTAAGTAGCAGAGCCATGACCTGAACCCAGGTCTCCTGGGAAGCTGTTCTGAGCCCGTTCTTTCCTCTTCAAACCTGGACTTCCCCAGCAGGCATGCAGGGCAAAGAAATTTCGCTAAGGGTTGTCAGAAGATCCCCCAGCACCTGCCCAGCCCTTTGGCTTTTCCGAGGTCTTTCTGATCTCAGAATGCAGTTTGTTTCTCAGGAAACTACTTAGTGGGGGGCCCTTCTCTCCACTCTATGGATGTGGAAATTAAGATCTAGGCCCAGCATGGTGGCTCATGCCTACAATCCCAGCACTTTGGGAGGCCGAGACGGGTAGATCACTTGAGGTCAGGAGTTCAAGACCAGCCTGGCCAACATGGTGAAACCTCATCTCTACTCAAAGAACAAAAATTAGCTGGGTGTGGTGGCATGGGCCTGTAGTCCCAGCTACTTGGGAGGCTGAGGCAGGAGAATCACTTGAACCCAGGAGGCGGAGGCTGCAGTGAGCCAAGATCACACCACTGCACTCCAGCCTGGGTGACAGAGTGAGACTCTGTCTCAAAAAAAAAAATCTAGAGAGGAGTGAACTGTCCAAGGTCAAGGCCAGAAGTAGAGGGGCCGGGGCTAACAGCTTCATCTCTGACTCCCAGCCAGGATTTCTGAATCAGGACTCCTTGACCTCAGCACAATAGACTTTTTTTTTTTTTTTTTTTTTTTTTTTTTTTTTTTTTTTTTTTTGCCAGATACTTCTTTGGGTGTTTTGAGAGGAGGGTGTGGGTTCTGTCCTGGGTACTGTAGGATGTTCAACAGCATGCCTGACCTCTTTGCGCTAGAGGCCAGTGACATCTACTCTCCACGCAGCTGTGACAATGAAAAGTGTCTCCAGACATTGCCAAACTACCCTAGACGAGAACCACTGTATTAAACCAATCGGAACTGACAGCTCCCTGGGATCCTGGAGCCAGGAGGGGTCTAAGGAAGCTCTGGAAGCCAGACCATGCTCACCAGGCACAGGCTGGTCGTTCACTGCTGTCCAGGTATTGCTGCCCTTCTTACGCCTCTCGATCAGGTAGCCCAGGATGTGGGCACTGCCAGGACCCCGAGGTGCCGTCCATGTTAGTGTAATGCCCTGGCTGGAGGCCGACAGGATGGCTGGAGTGGAAGGGGCCTTGGGGAGGGCTGGGGGCAGGAAGGGGTCCAGTCAGCCAGAGACCGGCGAAAGGTGCCGGCTGCTGGGGAGCCCCTGGGGTAGGAGGCATTGGCATCTGGGGCAGGCCACATTCCACCCTGTCCTGAGGAGTGTGGAGGCTGAGACTCTGTAAAACACTTCCTGATCTGAGTGCCAGATCCCAAATGCAGCTGAGGGAAGGAGTCTCCAGAGTGCTCCAGAAGACCTCTGGAGCCCCGAGCACAGGCTGGTGTCACTCAGCCTCTGGGGCAGTCTGCCCACCTCAGCATAGCGGGGAGCCCAGGAGTGTCCCCCAACCTTTTTTCTCACCCTCAGGAGCCACCAATGTCTCCTCGGACTCCAGGGCCTCGCCAGCGCCCTCTGAGGTCACAGCCCGCACTCGGAAGGTGTACTTCCTGCCCGGCTCCACGTGGGCATCCGTGAAGGTGGTGCTGTCAGCGGGGGCCTCGCCCACCTGCAGCCAAGTGCTCCTGCCAGCCTGCCGTCTCTCCACCACGTAGCGCTCTACAGGCCGGCCCCCATCGTCCCGTGGGGGCCGCCAGTGAAGGCAGACACCAGCCTTGTGGCAATCCTGAACCTCCAGGGGCCCTTGTGGGAGATCAGGCTTGTCTGGGGACCCACAGAGAGGAGCAGGAAGAGGAGAGGTCAGAGGAGCTGGAGGGGAGCAGCGCTGGTTCCCTCACCATGCCATCAGTGGATAAGCTAGCAATGGGGCAGACTGTCCAGAGAGGCTTGGGCATTACCTGGAGGGCCACACATGCTTGACATTCGTCTCCACCCGAACACACACGTGCACCCAGGGATAGTGCCAGGCCCACCATCTAGTGGCTGGTATGGGCACCTGCTTGGCCCACAGCAGTCCTACCTTGCTGGTGCCACTCAGGGCTGGGGACCATCATCCCACCCAGCAACTTCCTGAGGGCCCATGTATTGGGCTCAGAGAGGCACCCCCCAGCAGGAGCACGTTTTGATCTCAACTGCTTTTTCCTAAGCAGTGTGTGCAGAGTTAGGGGTAGGTCTGGATGCAGACGAGGATCAGAGCCAGCAGAGATCACACCCCAGGCCTGCCCTTGCTGATGGGGAGGGGACTCGGGCCTTGGCTGGGGGAAGACGGGGCTGGTACCTATGACTTGCAGGGTGAACTCAGCCTGCACAGGAGCCTCCCTTGCTCCTCAGCGTCACACTGTACTGGCCACAGTCCTTCCTGCCTGCGCTAGGGAGGCACAGCCGCGAGTAGCCATCCCGCAGCTCCACCTGGGCCTCCCTGTCACCACTGCCCACCACCTCGGCCCCGTCCTTCCTCCAGGCCGCCTGAATGGGGAGGTGGCTCTGGAAGGGGATCTTCACTGTCACCGGCTTCCCAGCCTTGACCACCAGTGGCTCTCTCAGTTTCTCTGTCACATCTGGAGCAATGATGGGGGCATCTAGAGATAAAACAAGAGAGTCAAAGAAGACCAGGGCCCTGGGGAATGCAGAAAGGAGGACCCAGAGAAGGAAGTTTGGACTAAGAGTGAGGAACCCTGTACCCTGCCACATGAGGACTAACAAGGGGAACGGGCTTCATCTGCAGCAGGAGAGACCAGGCTTAGACCTCACCGAGGACTTCCTGGCAAGGAAAGAGCTCAAGTGCTGGAACAGGCAGGGTATGAGTCGGCTTTTCCCGTCATCTGCTCTGGCGATGAGATTAGATCCTTGCCACAGACTAGCCACACGTTCAGGTGTTTTCAAGCAAGGCACAGCACCTGGTACAGAGACTGTGGGACAGGGCAGGGCAGGGCTGGGCCTTACCCTGGACAGTCAGGGTGGCCTCGCTCTGCTGGTCGCCGGCTACAAAGGTGTACCTCCCAGTTTGGGTCCCCTGTGCACGTGCGATGAAGAGTCGGTGCACAAGACCTGTCTTGCTCGAAGATGACTCCATCCTGGGCGGTGAGCTGGGGACAGGCCAGAGCAGAAGGTCACCTCACCCCCACCGCAGCTCTGCCAGCTAACCAGAGCCCTTTACTGATGCTGGGGTCCTGATAACAGCTGTGAGACTGGAACGCTTATCTCATGCCAATGCTCTCTGTGCCTAGCACCTTATCTAATTCTCACAACCACCTGATGAAGTAAGTACTGTTATTAGTCCCACTTTATAGATGAGGGAGCCAGAATGTTAGCTGCTTGCTTGAGGTCCCGTAACTGGTAGTGGCAGAGCCGGGATCTGAAGCCAGACCTAGCTGATACCGAGGCCCCTGCCCTGAGTCGCTGCAATGTCTCTCTTGGGGTGACAGCTGTAATGCAGGAGAGAGGGGTTGTACAGAGAGATGAGGGCTCCCCTCTGGTTGGGATGAGAAGGTGGCATTTGTACGAGGCCTTGAAGGATGGGTAGGCCTCTGCAGGTATAGAAGAGGCGTTTGGTATGGTGGAAGAACAAGGGGTGTGCTGAGGGGCATAGGATACGCATCATTTAAAAATCCAATTTTATTTTAAACACACCGAGTTAGTAGCTATTGAAATGTCTCCCAGGGTGGATACATTAGTAAAATGAAAGGAAAAAAATCTTTCTTTCAAAGCCTCTACCCGCCTCCTCTTCCCTGCCTTCCCTCTGTCCCTCCAGCTTGTAGAGAAGGTGTGAGGGGCGGCAGTACCTTGACTCCATCCTTAAACCAGGTGCCGGGTCCCAGGTCGCTGGTGAGGGTACAGGAGAGTGTGATAGCCTCCCCCTGCTGCACCTCCGTGTCAGCTAGGCCCTGGGAGAAGTGGCCCTTGGGGCCTGGAGAGAAACAGAGGGAGTCCTCAGGGTCGAGCCTCCCAGGCCATGGCCTGCACTCTGCCCTGCAGGGCCACCGTGGTCCTGCCAATGGGCTCAGCTGGTGTCTGCAGGGTGGTTCCCAGTGCCTATGCTGCCTTGGCGCCAACGCCTTGGTCTTCCCAGACAGGAGACCAAGCATTGCTGCTTTTCTCAGCAGGACCTAGGCTGGTCCAGGAGACCTGGGGAGTAAGGTATATGAAGCTCCCCCACCGCCCACCAAGTCATAGAGGGGAGAAGTCTGGTAACCCACAGAGAGTTGGGTCCATAACCCTGGTGCTGCGGACATCAGGTATCACGAGCAGATGCCTAGGAGACCTCGGAGCCTCTCACAGACTGGATCCCATCTGCACAAAGAGGAAACGGTTGTTTCCTAAATCTGCAAAAGGTTCCTGAGAATGGAACAGACTCCTGGGGCCGGAGGCAGAACTGGGACAGACCCAAGCATCCTAGTGGTCACGGAGCTCCTCCCGTCTCTAGCCCCCTGGAGCCAGCTCAGCGGAGAAACACCTACCCTGGGCCTCCTTGGAGAGCCTGCCAGTGCCAGGCTTGTATCTGGATGTGGAACTCTGGGTAGCATCTCTCTTCTCTCCACAGATGTCCAACCTGCCGTCTTTGCCACCTCCCTTGCTACCAAGGTGACCGGGGTGCTCCCAGCTCTGATCTTTATTCAGCGTCTCCTCTTGGCAGCCCCAGTTCTCCCCAACTGGTGGCTGCCCCCTGCTTCCGACCCTGTCTGCTCCCCTTCTCTTTGCTCCTCTAACCTCAGCCCCTGACTGTGCCTGAGACCTGTCCCTGAGTGAGCCAGGCCTCCTGCCTGACCTCCCAGCCTCTTCTGCTCCCTGCCTCTCATCCTTTAGGGCCCCAGGACCCTGGGCCTCACCATTCTCAGCCTTCAGGGACCCCAAGGGCCCCCTCTTTCCTCCTCTCTGTCCCATGCCTAGCTGAGAGCTCAGGCCCTGGGTCCCTCCTGACCCATCTCCAGAGGCTTTTCTGCCAAAGGGACCATCTAAGCCATGCCAGGCTCCCTGAGGACCCGACTCCCCAGGTTTTGGGGTGAAGACATTTCCCAACTCAGTAGAATTCCCTTTGCCCAGGATACCTGAGTCCTCTGTGCCACCAGACCTGCCCCTTCCAGGACTTGAACCTTTGCTATCTGGGGACCATGGGCTTTGGCATCCACCAGCCACCTCTTGGCCTGGTACACCCTCCCTGCCCTTAAAGCCCCCTGGCACTTCCTGGGTCCTACCAAAAGCAACGTCTTTCTCCTGCAGAGAACCGGAAGCCCTGGAGCCTGCGGGCTGCTTCCCAGCCCCTGTGCTGCCTCGGCCCAACCCCTGGTCTTCCCAGTCGGGAGCCCAAGCACTGCCCAGCCCTTGGCTGTCAGCAGGCCCTGATGTTGTCTTGCCCCATCCGCCAGGCATAGAGCTGCTGTCCAGATCCTGGCCTGTCCCCGCTGAGCTCCCTGAGCCTGCTCCCATCCTTCTGCCTCCCAAAAGTGAGTCCCCATCTCCCTGAGATGCTGATCCCCCCCAGCCAGCAACTTTACCCCTGTCTGTCACTCCTGGGCCTGCTTTCCAGATGTCCTGTTCATATCCAGACCCCAGAGCAGCCATTCCTGCCCAGGTCTCACCTTCCACTGCCCCGTTGCCATCAAGAAACCCAGAAGACCCTATAATCCCTGCGTGGTCTAGAGATCTGTCCTTCGCCCTGGGAGCCCCTTTGTCCCTAGAAGATGCTGGAGTCCCAGAACTATCTTGCCACTCTTTGACATCTGATTTTCCCTTGGTACCAGCAGCCTCCTCAGCCTCAGGGATTCCTGAGGTTCTGTAGCCCCCAAGACCCTTGGTGGAGCCTCGCCCATCTGAAGGAGCCTGTGGCCCTCCCTGAGACCCCAGCCCCCCCGGGCCTCTGTCTCTGCAGGCTGTGCCACTTGCAGTGCCCGCCATTCCAGCCATAGATTCTACCCCAGGTCCTGCCCCATCCACAGGCCCTGTTTCTCTGGCTGTCTCTGGACCATCCTTGGAGCTTGTGCCACCCTCTGATGTTACCCAATATCCTGACCTGTGCCCCATGGCTTCGTGACCTCTGGGTCTAGCTTCATGCCCTGTTCCTGCCAGTGAGCCTGGCACTCCAAGCCTCCCTGAACCATCTCCACAACCCATCTCACCCCCTGGCCCCATTTCCCCAGATCCTTCTGAGCCTCCCCTGTAACTGACCTCACCCCCTGATGCCATGCCATCAGTTCCCCCAAAGCCTTGCCTAGAACCTGCCTCACTCCATGACAAAATGCCCCCAGAATCCTCCAAACTACCCCTGGAACCTGCCTCACCCCCTGATGGAATCTTCCCAGAACCCCCTAAAACATTCCTATAACCTGCCTCACCTCCTGAACTGATTTTTCCAGAACCGCCTACACCATTCTTATAATTTGTGTATCTCCCTGAACCCATTCCCTCAGGAGCCCCCAAATCCTTCCTATAACCTGCCTCATCCACTGACCCCATCTCCCCGGAACCCCCTAAACCATCTCTAAAACCTGCCTTACTCCCTGAACCCATTCCCTCAGGAGCCCCCAAATCCTTCTTATAACCTTCCTCATTCACTGACCCCATTTCCCCAGAACCCCTTAAGCCACCCCTATAACCGGAACCCATTCCCTCAGTACCCCCCAAATCCTTCCTATAACCTTCCTCATTCCCTGACCCCATTTCCCCAGAACCCCTTAAGCCACCCTTATAACCAGAACCCATTCCCTCAGGAGCCCCCAAATCCTTCTTATAACCTTCCTCATTCACTGACCCCATTTCCCCAGAATCCCTTAAGCCACCCCTATAACCGGAACCCATTCCCTCAGGACCCCCCAAATCCTTCCTATAACCTTCCTCATTCGCTGACCCCATTTCCCCAGAACCCCTTAAGCCACCCTTATAACCAGAACTCATTCCCTCAGGAGCTCCCAAATCCTTCTTATAACCTTCCTTATTCACTGACCCCATTTCCCCAGAATCCCTTAAGCCACCCCTATAACCGGAACCCATTCCCTCAGGACCCCCCAGATCCTTCCTATAACCTTCCTCATTCGCTGACCCCATTTCCCCAGAACCCCTTAAGCCACCCCTATAACCTGCCTTGCTCCCTGAACCCACTCCCTCAGAAACTCCCAAATCCTTCCTATAACCTGCCTCATCCACTGACTCCATCTCCCCAGAACCCCCTAAACTATCCCTAAAACCTGCCTTACTCCCTGAACCCATTCCTTCAGGAGCCCCCAAATCCTGCCTATAACCTTCCTCATTCACTGACCCCATTTCCTCAGAACCCCTTAAGCCACCCCTATAACCTGCCTTGCTCCCTGAACCCACCCCCTCAGAAACCCCCAAATCCTTCCTATAGCCTGCCTCATCAACTGACCTCATTTCCCAAGAACCCCTTAAACCCCCCCTGTAACCTGTCTTCCTCCCTGTGCCCATTCCCTCAGGAGCCCCAAGATCCTCCCCATTCACTGACCCCATTTCCCCATAACCTCCAATCCCATTCCTATGACATGACTCATCCACTGACCCCATCTCCCCAGAACCCCTTAAACCACCCCTATAACCTGTGCCCATTCCCTCAGGAACCCCCAAATCTTTCCTATAATCTGCTTCAGCCACTGATCCCATTTCCCTGGAACCCTTTAAACCACCCCTATAATCTGCCTTGCTCCCTGAACCCTATTCCCTCAGGAGCCCCTAAATATTTCCTATAATCTGCTTCATCCATTGACCCCATTTCCACAGAACCCCCTACACCATCCCTATAAGCAGCCTTGCTCCCTGAATCCATATTCTCAGGAGCCCCCAAATCTTTCCTATAACCTTCCTTATCCACTGACCCCATTTCCCCAGAACTCCCAATCCCTTTCCTACAACCTGGCCCCTCTGCTGATCCCATTCCTTGGACGCCCCCTGAACCATCTCTAAAGCCTGCCTCACCCCATGGCCCTGCACTTCCTAGGCCCCAGGCCCCTTGACCCTCCTCCATATGCTGCTGTGACCCCAGTTCCCTGAGCACCTGGATGTTCTGATCCATCCTCATAACCCCGCACACTGCCAGCCCCGTAAGCCCACTGGCTCTCAGAAGCAGCCCCGATGTGAGGCGTGAGTGCCTCAGGGTCCCTGGTATCGTCCCTGTCACCAGCTCCAGCTCCAGAGGCCCTGGCGCCAGGGTATCCTGCCCCGTCCTCCTCACCCACTTGGCTCCCCGCCCTCGGAGACCCTGGCTGCATGGCTCCTGGAGCCCCAGAGCCATCTTCATAGCCTCCTTCTCCAAAGGCCTCCAGGTCCTCTGAGGCCCTGAAGCCCCCATAATTCCCAGTCTGACCCCAAGGCCTTATTCTTCCAGAGCTCCCTGGCTCGGCTTCCACACTTCGAGTCCCAACAGTCTCCAGTGCTCCAGGGGCCTTGAGACCACCTCTACCCACAGACCCCACCATCCCAGGACTCCTTAGGGTACCATCTGAATGGTGCCTTCCCCCAGGGCCCATGCCACCCTGGCATGCAGAAGCCCACTTCCTGGCTCCACCCATGGGTGCTCCGTCAGGGCCTCCTGAGCCGTTCTTAGGACTGGCAACTCTCCCAGGCCCTCCTCCTGCAGGGCCAGAATCTTCTTTGTTTCCAGACCACACTCCCCTGGGCACTGCGGAGCCATGCTTGTAAGTACCCCCTTCCTCAGACTCCATTCCCACTGGTGCCCCAGGGGACACTCTACAACCAGCACCATGGCTAGATCCCATTGCTCCTGGCACCCCTGAGCCATAGCTATAACCAAGCCCGCTTTCAGAACCTATTCCCCTAGAATATCCTAAGCCCCTCTCATACCTAGATTCCATTCTCCCAGGACCTTCCAAGCCATCCTTATAACCTGTCTCACCTCTGGGTCCTTTTACTCCAGAGCTCCCTGATCCATTCCAGAAATCTAGTTCAGACCCAGGACCTCTGAATCCTTCCGTATCTCCTAGCGTTCCCCCAGATCCCCGGGCACCCAGGCCTGGAGACCGACTTAGCCCACGGCTTCTGGCTTCCACCCCCTGACCAGACTCTGTCAGTCCAGCCACCCAGACACCACCCATACCCTCTTGCCCTTGGACCCCAGTTTTTCCGAGGCTAGATGGCGTGTCCTCCCAAGGACTTGTGCCCTTAGAGTCTATTCTGCCAGCACTGCCTGCTGCTCTGCGACCTGCTGTCCAGCCCTGGGAAGCCTGGAAGCTTCTGGGCTCATCTCCTACCTCACCCGAGGCCCAAGCTATTTCCTGGCCATCTTTTCCCCTGAGCCCCCGGAGGCCACCGTCGCAGCCCCTGGGGTCTCCTGGGCCTCCAGGGCCAGTTTTGTAGACACTTCCTCCCACTTTGGGCTCCCCCTGGTGTAGACCGTCTGCCTCCTGCAGTGAGTCTTCAGCTTTGGCCTCAGGACTCCCATCTCCCAGAAGGAATTTTCTACCACCTGATATTGATGGTTCCTGGAAGTCCTTGCCTCCAGGTGTCTGTCCTAGAAACTCTCCTGATCCCCAGTAGCCTCTGGCATCCTCATAGTCAGTAACTGTACCTCCTTGGGAACCCCAGGATTCAGGGCCCATGCCTGCCTTGGAGCCAGAACCTCTTCCTCCAGTAAAGTCCAGGGTGCCAGGACCTCCTGCCCCATTGCTGCCTCCAGCTTCCCCGAGGCCAGTCCCACTACCCCACGCTACCACTCCTCTCCGGGCTCCCCTACTCGAAGCATCCCCTCCCTCCATCTCAGCCAGGCTATCACCCTGCGAAATCTTCTCCATCTGCTTTCCTCTTGGCCAGGACCCTACAGGATCAGACGGGCATCCCTCCAGGTCCCTCTCTCCTCTCCCAGGTCCCAGTTGAGCATCCCACAGTTGCTCCTGGCCATGCCTGTCCAGTTGTCCTCCACTGTCCCCCCCACTGTCCCCTCCACCGTCCCCTCCACGCCCCTTTCCTTCCCTGCTGCTCCCCAGTCCTCCAGCCTGAAGCGGACGGGACCCAGCCTCCCAGCCTCCTGCTGTCCTCCAGCATCCATCACCGTTGCTATCTCTGCCACCATCTTGCTGTCGTTTTTCTGGGAGGCCCGACCCTAATTCTGAGCTCTCTCCCTGTAGATGGACTCCCACTGCAAGGCTTCCAGCCCAGCCTCCCTCTCTGCGGGGCTGATTTTCCCTAGGAAGAGTGACTCTGCTTGTCTCTGCTTCTAGAAAGCCCTCGCCTCCCTGTCCAGGGCCCCAGGATGAGTCAGCTGCCCCTTTGTCCCCCATCAAGGAGTAGCCATGCCTGCCAAGGCCGTCTCTGTCTGGGCTGGCTATGTGCTGGAGCCCGGAAGCCAGCCTGGCCCCATCAAGGGAGCTCCCCCTGGGGCCCTGCTCTCTGAATGTCTCTCCCTGGCTGCTAGTGCTCCCAGAGCCTTCTGCTTCTGAGGCCTGGGCTCCTTGCTTCTGCAGCTGGTGGTCGGCACTTGCGGACTGAAGGTCTTTATCCTTCCCAGCTTCAGTGAGGGGTTATTCAAATGGAAGGTCAGCGCCCACATAGAGAGACAAGAGAAAATACCAAAACTCCAGTTAAATCCGGCCAAAGCACCTGCCTGAGCCCAGCTGCTCACCTGACCTGGGCTTCCCCAGTAGAGAAGCAAGCTGACCGTCTGGGGAGGCAGCCAGGCTGTTCCAGGGATGAACGGGTGAATCCCAGCACCACCTCCCTGCTTCCTCTACCCACAGGCCACCTGCTACAGGGTTCATGAGGATTTTGGAGAAAATGCCTGAGCCAGAAGTCATTTGTAATGAAACTGCTGCAGCAGGTGCGTGGTTTTTACAATATCTACTTGCTCTACACCTGCCTTACTTATGTCCAATTTACACTTTTCTGGGAACATCTTGGACCCAAATTTCAATCCCCAGGGAGGTTTCAGAGTGTTCTCTGGTCTGGCGCAGGGGGTTCTCATCCACACCGAACCTAGGCCACTGTCCCCAGGCTGCCTAGGACCATACGGCCGTCTGTGCCCCCGAGTAATTCCAAGAGACCCAGTGGAGCAGGCACAGCTGAGAAGGGTGAGGGTGGCCGTGACAGTCTGCACTGCAGTGGGTGGAGGGTAATCTAAGGAGCCTTCCTTATTCTCTCTGAGCAAGGGAATCATGCCAGAGCAAATGGCTGACCGAAGGCAATCCCACTGCCTCGCCTCCCTCATGCCTCCCCAGCCCCAAGGTCTTCCCTGGAGATGTGAAGCACTCACCTTCAACCACCAGCCAGGCGCTGGAAGTGTGGAGCCCAGTGCCCAGTGAGTAGGGGCCCATGTCCGAAAAACGGGCCCCCCTCACCACCAGCCGGTGGGTCAGCCCGTCGGGGGACACAAACACTTCATATTTATCACTGGGGTGGAGTAGCCGGTGCCGGAAATGCCAGGCTGCACTAGGGCAGGGGCTGGAGAGGGTGCACTCGAAGACAGCATCACCCTGCTCCTCACAGCGGGTCTCGGTCAGCGGGACCACCACTCTGGGGGGGATGGCTGCCGGGGAAGCAGGAAGGGGGGTGTCACCTTGATGCTATGACACAGTGTGACCTGAGGCAGCAAAGCTGGCAGTTCAGAAATCCAGGCTTTGAGTAGCTCAGCCAAAAACTCCCTGTGCTGCCTTGGACCCGTTACCTCCGCACCTCAGGGGTCAATTCCCCCACGTAAAGTGAGGGGTTATCATGATGAGCAATGGAGCTTTTTTCAGCTCTGGGATTCTATACTTCTAAACCCAAAAGTTATATCTGGGGACAAGGTGGGTGCATGAAGGAAACCACTAAGCTAAGAGCCAGTACTTGATCTTATTAATCCCTGTGACCATCTCCAAGTTGAGTATTATTAATTTATTTTTACAGGTGAGAAAACCGAGGCTTAAAAAGTTAAATAACTTGCCCCAGTCTCATGCAGCTAAGGGAAACCAAGATTCACACCCAGGTTCTGGTTGACTACAAGCTTACACTCTTTTCTCAACCTGCACGGTTGTCAGGCTTTCCAAAGTCCCCTCTGGGCACCTCCCCGCTGCTGGGACACAACACTCCTTTCTCTCTCCCCGAACCTTGATTCAACCGTGTTCTTATTAACATATCTGCCCAAAGCTCACTTCCCCGGGGCCCTCCTTGTCCTTCCAAGAACGCCCTTGAGCTGGCAGGTGCTCTGAGAGTGATGTGGACACAGGCACTCCTGGGGATGGGACTGAGTTTGATGAGGGAGGGGTGGCAGATCCTGGAAGGGGAAGGAATACAGGAAGCAGGAAAGGAAAGGTCTGTATGGTACACGAGCATGCCTAAGCAGAGATTCTTGCTGGGGCATTGTGGGAGACGAGACACGCAACAGAAAGGTGTTCTAGAGCCTCTGCAATTAGTCTGGATCTGATCTGAAAATACTAGGTGGCTGCAGAAGGTCTAAGCAGAGGCATGACACATATGCTCTATGTCTGTGATGGTAATTCAGTAGAGCCCAGCTCGGCACCAGGAGAAGAGAGAACGTCCACGGAGGCTTTTGGAAAACAGACAGCATCATAATTTAGCCATCTGGGTATGCATCCCACTTTGCAGTAGGGGCCACGTCACATTTACCCCCGACACACATATTGCACAAACATGGACTCCACTTCTAACAGATCTCCCCGACTCCAACTCCAGCAGTGTAGACCACTCACCACTGGCCTCCAGCTCTGTGGAGAAGACCACAGCATCCTCCACCTTCACCTGGTAGATCCCAGAGTCCTCGGGCTGCAAGTCCTGGATCTGGAATTGGTAGCGCTTCCCCAGCCGGCGCAGACTGTGCTTGGTCTGGTTGTTGAAGCCATAGGGGATCATCTCACCGTCCTAAGGCCAGAAAAGGAAGAGGGTCCTCAGTGGGTCCCCAGTGCTTCCTGCCCCAGTCCCATTCTGGTTATAACTGGCTGTTTTCTCCCCCTGGCCCAGTCACCAGACAAAAGATTCCTGAAGTCACAGAGGAGCTGGGGTGGGGCAGACAGCAGGGCCTGGAGGACATGGGAACAGGGATTGAGAGCTGGATGGGAATACATGCTCTAGGAATGTCCACGGAGCAAACACTCTGCACGTTCTGTGCAAAGGGGCACCTGGAGTTACTGACATTCCAGCTCAGGCTGTGAGTAGTTACCGCCCAGTGGCCCTGCGAGGATAGCAGAGAGGCAGGACACAGCAGCAATGGCCCGGGCGCCCCGGCTCAACTTACTCACCAACAGGAACTTTCAGAGAATACCATCAGACACCTGTAAGGCTCTACAAAACCCAGTAATCTATATGCATACCTACTTTAACTAAGCCCCAGATAGGTTTGTTACTTGCTGAATATTAACAACGGCTAATACTTATGAGGGGCCCGCTGTGTGCCAGGCACTGTTTTAGGTACTTAGGACACACCAATGAATAAAACAAAGATGGGCAGATCACAGAGTCAAGAGATCGAGACCATCCTGGCCAACATAGTGAAACCCCATCTCTACTAAAGAGACAAAAATTAGCTGGGCGTGGTGGCATGTGCCTGTAGTCCCAGCTACCCGGGAGGCTGAGGCAGGAGAATTGCTTGAACCCGGGAAGTGGAGGTTGCAGTGAGCCGAGATTGCCCCACTGCACTCCAGCCTGGTGACAGAGCAAGACTCTGTCTCAAAACAAAAACAACAAACAAGAAACCCACAGAGATTCCTGCTCTCACTAACTAAAGTCCTAGGGGGGGAAATATAAATAATAAATGTCATAAGTCAGTAAATATTTTATGTTAGAAAGAAATAGAACTAGGGAGCAAAAAGGTAGATATGGGTCCAGGGCTCTGGAGCGTCAGGATGGGGCTGGAGGGGTATAGTGGAATCACACGGAGTGGCCGAGGGAAGTCTCTCTGCCATGAAGAAAGGAGTCCTGTTGATATCGGGGATGAGCACGCTAAGCAGAGGGAATAGCTGGGGCAAAGGAACAGGGATGGGGCCATTGGGGCGGGAACAAAGGGACAAGGGGAAGAGAAGCTGGAATGAGCAGAGAGGCAGGGGGAGGGGCAAGTCACACATGACGTCATTTAGCACCGTAGCCAGTACACCGTGAGGCAGGTCCTCAATGATCCCCAGTTCACAAGTGAGGAAACCGAGGCATGGGGAGATAAGTGTCTTGTCTGAAGCCACACAGCTTGTAAGTGATGGAGCTGGATGAGTTTGGCTACAGAACCAGCCAAACTTCACCGGCCCTTCCCCACCTGCCTCTGCCCGCATCTGGTTGGCAGGTAATTACTCCTAGAGCCCAGGTCGGGATGTGTTAAGTCTCTGGAAAGAAAGCTCAGATGGAAGGGGTGCACTTTCTCAGAACCCTCTTTTCACCCCTGTGCTCTAGCGTTGGCCACAATACACAGAGAGTCACAGGCCCAGCTGGAGAGCCTGGTTGCTCAGTGTGAGAGATGAAGTCCCTGTGGATGGACAGTCTACACCAGGGTTTGGCTCAACTCCAACCAGGAACTCCACGGGCTGAGGGGCTCACCACTTGTGTGCTCCGGTTGTTCCCATGGGGGAATCCAGGGTACCCATCCTTCCCGCCTCAGTGGGCCTGCAGCAGCCCTGCCAGATCCTCCCACCCATAACCCCTCCAGCCTCACCTTGTACAGGTAAATCTTGCTCTGAGAATCCTTGAGATCCAGCTCCAGGTCAAACTTTGCAATTCCCTCCTTGGTGACCCTGACGTGTCTCAAGTTGGCGATGGCATTGATGTACTGCGGAGCAACAAACCCACCAGGAGATTTCCTGGAGTCCTCTCTTTGGGGTACTCCAAACCCTCATAGGCCCTGGTACCATTCTAGGCCCACAGCATCCCAGGTGAGCATGCACTGGCCACTTTCACAAGTGGGGAGAAGCAAGCCCCTCAAGGAGGGAAGTTAAGAGATCAGATCACGAGGACAACCAAGAAAAGACCCCAGGTGTCCAGGTGCCAGAACACAGTAGGGCTTTTCTATTCATCTATTCTTCTAACAAACATTAGTTGAACACCTACTGTGTACAAAGCTCTGTGCTGGGTCGTGTGTTAAAGCCAATGAGAAACCTTGGAGGAGAGAAAGCTGAGACCCTGGGTGTTAGGTTTAAGGAAACTTATCCTTCAAGGGGATAAGGTACTATTTTCAGGATAATAAAAACCAGTCGTTTTCCATTTTCAGAAGAAAAATTAGACTTATGCTATAGTTAAGTTAGACACAGGAAAGAACTTCCCGGTACAGCTGATAAGATTCTGGGATCAGAGTGCTAATGGGAACTGTGAAATTCCCTTCCGTAGAAGCCTTTAGAAATAAACCAGGTACCCCCGATCTGGCGACGATCATAATGACAGCAAACATCATCCCCTTACCATGTCTCAGGCCCTGGGCTATGTACTTTAAGTACATTCTCTCATTTAGCCTCCCAAAAACCCTATGAGGTAGGCATGACTATAATTTCCATTTGCAGATGGTGAAACCAAGAAACAGTGGCCCTAACTCTTCCAAAGCTCCAGTTTTGTGAGTATCAGAATCACATTGCAAAGGCAGGGCACCAACCTGGGATCACAGGGGCTTAGCCAGATACCCCACTGGTGGCTAGATGGAGACAGGCCCCTCGACCATACTTGGTTTTCTAAGGTCTGCCTCCAAGCCCACCTCCAGATGTGAGGCACTGAGGTCCAGGTGTGTGGGGTGGGCATGCGGTGACGGGTGGGCATGGAGTGAGGCACTGAGGTCCAGGTGTGTGGGGTGGGCATGCGGTGACGGGTGGGCATGGAGTGAGGCACTGAGGTCCAGGTGTGTGGGGTGGGCATGCGGTGACGGGTGGGCATGGAGTGAGGCACTGAGGTCCAGGTGTGTGGGATGGGCATGCGGTGACGGGTGGGCATGGAATGAGGCACTGAGGTCCAGGTGTGTGGGGTGGGCATGCGGTGAGGGGTGGGCGTGGGTAGACACTGTGGTCCAGGTGTGTGGGGTGGGCATGCGGTGAGGGGTGGGCGTGGGCTGAGGCACCTGCGCCATCTTGTCCTCCTGCTCCTTCTTCATCTCCTGCAGCCTGCGCAGCATGCCCCGGTAGTCGACGATGCCATACTTCATGCAGATCTGCTCGTAGTCCTTCCTGTCTGCCGTCATCAGCAGCTGCCACACCTGCTCAAGGTCTATCTTTTTTTCGGGGGCGGGTGGGGCCCTGGAGAGCAAGGTCGGCAGATCAGAGGTCAGAGGAACCCCGGTTCCCCTGTTGGCCACCTGGCTCTGGTGCCCCAAGTAGTCCTGGGAAGCTGCTCTATCTGCACTCGAGGAAGCACAGAGCCTGGAATCTCTGGGACTGACCACTGTGGGGGCCAGAAGAATTCAGAGACGGGTGGGGCGAGCCTCACCCCACAGCTCCAGCTTTCAGGAGAAACTGCTGCTAACAACTTGTAGATTTCTATGCAAGAAGTCTGCGGGAAAGTGGGTGTTGCATTGTTCTGTTGCTTTTTTTAAAAAAAGTTACATCAGTGTTCCAGTGGACCACCACATTTTGCAAAGGAGGAATCAGAGGAGAGATAATCAGATTAACTCAAGGCTGCAGCGCTCTGAAGCAGGAGAGCTGGAGCCAGAATGCCCAGTTCACCGTCGGTCCCGTCCTCCCCTCTGCTACCGGCAGTCTAGCTCCCTGCTGTCTCGGTTGGAGGTGGGGCCCAGCTTACTTATGGAAATAGCAGAGAATGAACACTATGGGAGCCTCCAAAATCCCTCATGGACAGGCCCAAACCCACCTCTTTTTCAGCAACTTCCGGAAGTCCATCAGCTCCTTCCTGAGGTCTGGAAAAGGAGCAGGAATGAGACCCCAGTCCCAGATGGGATGCCTGAGGGTCGATGCAGGGCTTTTCGGTGTGGTCCATGCTGCCACCTGAGCCTTTGGAAGGGGCTCTCCCGAAGACTGACAGTGACCCACAAGGTGTGCATGGTGGCTTGACCAGGCAGGGAACACCAGGAAAGGAGTAGCCTCCCCCACAGGCCCCAAGGAGGTTTCTGACAAATCTACTTACCTTCCTGCGGTTCCTTTTGCCTCTTCCGATTCTTCCTAAAGCCAACTGGATCATCCAGGGCGGAGAGGAAGGCGTCAATGTGGACAAGCAGGGAGAGAAGAGAGACACGTTGATGGTTTTCCTGAGGAACTGACGGATCCCAGAGCCCTGCTCTCCTCATGGTCCTCTAAGGCATGAACGATCCCAGCAAGAGGGATGGAGCAAGGTGGAGGATCTGTCCATCAGAAGCTTTTTGACCCCAGAGCCTTACCATGACCAAGGGGACCAACCTGAGCATCATCTCATGCGGGGGAGGTCCAGTCATGTGTCCACAGGGGCCAGGGAGGTGGCATAAACATGTGAAGCAGACACTGGCAACCACAACGAACTCAAGAGCATCTAAAAGGGCAGCTGCTCTTTCATTCCACCTGGGAGCTGCCATTTCAGGGTATAGGTCAGACACTGCTGTTTGGCTGAACACCTTTTTTAATCCTCATTGTCTGCTTCCACTAGAAAGGCGGAAAAAGCTAAACACTCGCATTCCCAGCTTCCCTCGCAACTAGCAGTGCTCACGTGACATCATTCTGACCAATGAACTCCAGGAATTTCTAAGAAAGCTTTTGCTTCCTCTATGAAAAGGGTGGATGGGCTGGGCATGGTGGCTCACACCTGTAATCCCAGCACTTTGGAAGGCCAAGGTGGGAGGATACCTTGAGCCCAGGAGTTCCAGACCAGGCTGGGCAACAGAGGGAGACCTGGCCTCTACAAAAAAAATAAAAAATAATTAGCTGGGTGTGATGACACATGCATTTGGTCCCAGCTACTTGGGAGGCTGAGGTGGGAGGATCACTTGAACCTCAAGGCTGCAGTGAGCTGTAATCACACCACTGCACTCCAGCCTGGGCAACAGGTCTCAAAAAATAAAAAAATAAAAGGTTGGGCACAGTGGCTCACGCCTGTAATCCCAACACTTTGGGAGGCTTAGGAGGGTGGATCACCTGAGGTCAGAAGTTCGAGACCAGCCTGGCCAACATGGTGAAACCCTGTCTCAACTAAAAATACAAAAATTAGCGAGGCGTGGTTGTGCGCACCTGTAATCCCAGCTACTCAGGAGGCTGAGGGAGGAGAATTCCTTAAAGCTGGGAGGTTGAGGTTGCAGTGAGCAGAGTTCGTGCCACTGCATTCCTGCCTGTGTGATGGAGTGAGACTCCGTCTCAAAAAAAAAAAAAAAAAAAATTAAGAGAGGCAAGTGGACCGGGGCCACCTCTGCCACTGTCCTACCTTGAACATGGATTAAGTTGGGTCTACCACAGCCCTCTTACGGTGATGAGGTGATGAGCCAGCCTGCTAAGGATGGCAGAGCAGGTGTACCGAAAGAATCAGCTCTCCCATGGCAGCCCTGAGCTGTGCTGTGAGCCCTGGACGCCACTCTCAGATCTTCTTACCATGGGAGAGATGAAATATCTTTATTTCTTAGGCTACTCTGAATAGGGTTTTCTGCCACTTGTACGCAGATCAATTGTAAGCATAACGAGTGGTGAGACTAGACCTGCTTCCTCAAGAGATACCTATCTTTTAATTACCACAGGTTGACAATTTAAAAAATTTTAAACACGACGCATGCCAAAAAAAAAAAAAAAAAAAAAAAAAAAACCATGCCTGAGAGAGAGTTTGGCCTTTGTGTGACCTGTTTGTCACCTCTGGCATGGCCTGTCCGAAAGATCCTTTGCACAGGGGCAGAAACGGAGATCCCGAGAGGAAAACAAAGCCCACTGAGTCAGCAGAAGCTCTAGGACTAGAAGCCAGCTTTCAGGTCCTGCCTATTGACTGGGCCAAGAGAATATCCTTCAGAGGATCAGCCAAGGTACGGCTTTTAAAACACATGCAGACTCAGTGTGCACGTGGATAAAGTCGGAAGCCCAGCACAAAATGGGGCGGCAGCAGCCGAAGCAGCCTCCGTGGGCCTCCCCTCCCCTCCCCACCCCTCCCTCACCAGCCACGGGGCCTCTGATTCTTCTGCAGGCCGTCTGCCCCATGCACTGATGAGACGAGCTCAGGGAAAGGCCCACCTTCGATGACGGTGAGTCTCGCTGAGCACGCAGCCTCTCCATACACGTTCACTGCCGTGCAGCGGTACACATCTGTGTCCTCGCCTGTCAGCTTGTTGATCTGCAGAGAGGCCAAGGGCAGAGGGACGGGGCTACCATGTACCCTTCCTCTGTTTACTAGACACGGCTATGTGTTGAGGTATAAGGTAAAACATGGTCCTTGTCCTCAGGGAGCTCACAAGCTTTATCAGGAAAGAGAGACCCCAAAACAAAAGCCAGGTTCGGGACAGAGGGTGGATGGACCAATTCTTTGCCATCAGAGGCAATGTAGCGAGGAGAAAGAGTATGTTTTTTGGGTCAGATGGATCTGGGATGGGAAATAGTCTCTGTCCTGTATTACTTTTGGGAAAGTTACCTGACTTCTCTGAACTTTAGTTTCTTCGTTTATAAGATGGGAATATAATACCTCAAAAAGTGGTGAATGATTAGAACTAAATATATAACCTATGTCAAATGTCTAGCCCCGGGCCTGGCATATAGTAGGTATGCCATGATTAGTGTTTATAACATTGCTAAGATTAGCCAAGATTGATCGCTACAGGCCAGGCACTAGCTAGACACTTTACGTAAAACTTTCATCTTCTTAACAACTCCCAGCCAGGCACAGTGGCTCACGTCGGTAATCCCAGCACTTTAGGAGGCTGAGGCAGATGGATCACCTGTGGTTAGGAGTTCAAGATCAGCCTGCCCTAACAGGGTAAAACCCCATCTCTACTGAAAATACAAAACTTAGCCTGGCGTGATGGTGCATGCCTATAAATCTAGCTACTCAGGAGGCCAAGGCAGGAGAATCACTTGAACCTGGAAGGTGGAGGTTGCATTGAGCCAAGATTGTGCCACTGCACTCCAGCCTGGGTGACAGAGTGAGATCTGTCCCAACTACAGCTCATGACAGCTCCTTAAGTAGACACTATTATTGCCCCATGTTTACAAATGAAGAGACAGAGGTAGAAAGAGGAAAGCGACTTTCCAAAGCCAAGGTGGTGGGCCTGGGACAGTAACCCAGGCAGTCTGACTTCAGAGCCTGAGCTCTCACGCTCCAGTCTACACCACCTCCCAGGTTATCAGCAGAGGTATCTGCCAGATCCATTATTGGCTCAGGCGACTTTGAGTCACAAGATGAAGTTGAATGGATTCAACTTCAATGAGGAGTGTGTCTTACTTCTGTAGGGATTGGAGGCTGCCGAAGAGACCTCCAAGGGGATGGGAAGAGATGAGTAGACCCTGGTCGGGGGAAGAGCTGTGGTTCTCACCTGCAGCACGTGCTCCTTGCTGCCCGGGCTGGAGGAGATCTTGTACTTGCTGGAGTTACTGAGGTCACCTTTAGAGTTCTGCCAACGCACCTCGGGCCTGGGCTCCCCGCAGACCAGAGCCCGAAAAACAGCATTTTTCCCTGCAGCAGGAGACAGACAGGAAGGCTGACCAGTTGGGAGAGGGTGACTGTGTTCTTTATTTAAATTCTAATTTATATCATCTTCCTCTTCTAGGTATTTCAACTACCCCTTCCAAAAAGGGTGCCAGGCCTTGGTCCCCTTGACTCAGGACTCAGATCACGCAGGTGGAAAGCAGCAGATTCCAGGCACCCAGAGGGCAGTCTTTCCTCTTTCTGTATTGCAGAAGTTTGGGCTGCTTGAGGGAAAGAAGCAGCTGGACAGGCCCTGGTGAAAGGAAAGGCCAGCAGGGCTTTCGGGGAGAGGGGCTTTTCTTTGAGAGTGGATGAGCAAGGAATCTGAAGGCTCTGCCAAGACTGGAAAGGGAATGAGCTTTTGTGAGTTCTAGCCGAGCACACGGGGTAGCACTTTGGGAGGCTGAGGTGGGAGGATCACCTAAGGTCAGGAGTTCAAGACCAGTCTGGCCAACACAGTGAAACCCTGTCTCTACTAAAAATTTAAAAATTAGCCAGGAGTGGTAGCATGTGCCTGTAGTACCAGTTTCTCAGGAGGCTGAGACAGGAGAATCGTTTGAACCCAGGAGGCAGAGGTTGTGGTGAGTGGAGATCGTGCCACTGCACTGCAGAGTGGGCAACAGAGCAAGACTCCATCTCAAAAAGAGAGAAAGAGAGAGAGAGAGAGAGAGAGAGAGAGAGAGAGAGAGAGAGAGAGAGATTTTGTGGGCTCCCTTCCTGCTGTCTAGGGGAAGGAGGAATGACAACCATGGGCAGGAATGGCTATTTGGTGCCCAAAGGAGCTGGTCTGAGACACAGGTTCCAGCCTCAGAAAAGACTCCAAGTTCCATGCCCGGCATGGAGGCCTGAGAACTGCTCACCCTCAAGGAATCCCTCAGCCTCCCACCAGGAACATGCAATTCAGACCAAATATAGACCAAAGGTCCAAGGGCCCTTCCCAATTTCTCATTACCTTGTTTCAGAGTTGGAAAAATAAAATGCCATTCTTTTTCTTATTTCCAGAATATCATGAATTAAAATTTATTGCACGAATGTATGTTGGGGAAAGAACACCCATTCCCACATTTCCCCCAACAAGCCCTTGTTCCCACTGCTTTCCGGGACACTTCCTTATGTGGCCTTCTAGAAGGGCCTTCCTGAGCCCAGCCTGTGAGCCACTGTGGCAGCAGCTGCCTGGAGGCGAGGGTTGGGAGGAGTCAGATTACCTGTTTAAACAGCGCCTCTCTGCAGCAGTGGCTTTGAAGCAAGGAAGGAGGGACCAGGGAACCCCACAGCCTCTCCCTGCTCCCCAGTTTAGCATTTTCCATCCTTGCCTCCCAGATATTTCTCACACCAGAATAGCATCGTGTCTCTTCATTCTCTTTATCCACTCTTTTCCCCAGGCCCCTTGTCACTTTTACGGTTCCAGGCAAGTGCATGAACCCTCAAGGATAGGAGGGAGATGGGCTATGGCCTGGTGATGGATGTAGGGCCTGGGTGCCCAGGAAGGTGGGTGCTCCTGGCCTCTCTCCTGGGAGGTAGGGGAGCAGGAATCTTGCCTCCCCTCTCTAGCTCCCCTCTGGGCTCTCACCCTCTGGCAGAGCCAAGGTGACGGGCTTCTGCTCAAAGTCCGGCGTGCTGTAGCCTTCGGGGATCTCCTCCACCAGCTGCCAGATGCTGACCCCAGGGATGTGGGACTTCCGGAGCTTTCCTGGAGAACACAGGAGAGAGGGAGATGGGTCTTCTGCCTCCTCCCTATTGGGTGGCCCTTCCACAAAATGGGCATTCGCCCACTCACCCCAGGAGCAAGAAGCCCCTTCTCGCTCCTACTGTTGGGTCAGGGGGATCTGTCCTGCCTCCTGCCTGTGCACACTGCTTTTTAATTCTCTACTGGGAATCTGGCGGCTGCCCTCCAGCGGTGTGAATGGAGCCTCTAAGGAGTGGGTAGGGCTCCCGGTGAAGACCCTGAGTGTGTCTCTGGGGAAAAGCTTGGAAAAGAGAATGGGAATGGGCTCTTTCTCAGGAAGCTGGAGCTCATGTGGAGGCTCTGCACCCCTTAGGAAAACAAATCAAAACCTAAAACTGAGACAAAAAAAAAAAGGCCAACCACACTGGCTCATACCAGTAATCCCAGCACTTTGGGAGGCTTAGGCGGGTGGATCACCTGAGGTCAGGAGTTCAAGACCAGCCTGGCCAACATGGTGAAACTCGGTCTCTACTAAAAATACAGAAATTAGCTGGGTGTGGTGGCACAAGCTTGTAATCCCAGCTACTAGGGAGGCTAAGGCAGGAGAATCACTTGAACCCAAGAGGCGGAGGTTGCAGTGAGCTGAGATCGCACCACTGCACTCCAGCCTGGGCACCAAGAGCGAGACTCTGTCTCAAAACAAGCAAACAAACAAACAAAATGAGATGGGTGAGTTCCCAGAAATCTCTGATCCCTACCACTTCTCTCTTCTCTGTCCTGGTAAAGATCGCCGGGGAGGGTTGGGGAAGGGAGGTTCGTTCTTCTCTCACCTGCCATAGTTCTGCCTCCTCTTTGACTCCTCTGAGGGTAGAAGTTCCCTTTTCCTGAGAACAGAAGTGGAATTGTTTTTGAGACATTCAGGCTGGTTTCACCCCACCCCCCACACCATCAGTGCATCAGCCCATGTCTGGGGTGGGAGCTTGGAAAAGCTGCTGCCCCGAGAGCTTTTCTAACCCATGAAGGCAGCTGAAGTTTCCTGCAATTCCCTGACCCCAGCAAAACCAATTTCTCAGAGGTCAGGGAGGGGCTAGGATGCTACCCAGTTGGTAACATTCCCAGCTAAAGGGAACCATGGGCTGAAGCCTGTACACTATGATGGCCCTGCTCAGAGGGTGAACCACAGCCAGCCCAATCCAGAGGAAATCAGGCTCATTCAGTTTCTTTCCAGCTGTGTAACAGCTTGCCCCATTGACTTTGGAATGAGAATTCTCCAAGGACATTCTTTGGGTCTCCTGGCTCCTTGCCCAGCTCTGAGATTTTTTCTGGCTGGACCCCGAAGCCCTCTACCTCCCATGCTCCACCAATCTGGAATCCTTCCGGTCATAAGGTCTGCAGGGGAGAGTCCTCAACTTTGCTCCTCTTAAGCTCTTCTTGGCCCAGGACAGTAGGATCCCCATAAATCCATCTGCCCCTCTCTGAAGCCAGTGAATTATAGTGTCAGGTGAATAGGAGTACTTTCCAGTCTCTCACCACCTCCATCTCTCCCGATTTCCTCTTAATTGCATCCATCTGTTATGACCAATGGGGAGTCCCACACAGGAGAGGAAGAGGGTTGGCTCTGGGATGGGATGAGTGACATAAATCGGGGTTGGGGGGAGGACTCGAAAGAATTCTCCAGCAGTCCCACCCTCTGTGCAATTGGCCCACTGCCAAGCGGTTCCATTTTGGGGACTCCATTTTGTGCCCAAAGAGCCCTGCAGCTAATATAGAATCACACATGACAGAGCAGATTGCTCTCTCCCATGGAGATCGTTCCATTTCGCAACTGCCCACCCACTGGCATTTCTGGCCCCTGGCGGCCCCTCACCAGCCCAGACACTGCACCCTAGTGTGCTGGAATGCCATGGTACGCCAGCTGCGTTCTGGAGCGGTCACAGGCGCCGCGGGCGCTACGCCGAAGGGAGTCACGAGGAAGGGTGGGAGGGAAGGCAGCCACCAATGGACGAGGGTCAGCCACCAACGGATGGGGACCCAGCTGGCCATGGCCAGGGGGAGGGCTGCAGGGGCCTCCGTCCCAGCCACCCCTCAGTGCAGCCTCCCAGTAGATGTAAACGCACTGGCACAGTCGGTAACCCCACACTGGAGTAGCTGGAGTTCAGCGCGGCTATCTGAGTCATCATCTCCATCCTCACGCACAACATCACCACGAGCAGCTATCAGTCCGTTACTCAGCTGTTGGTCACACATGAAGAAATAACGCTAATACCACTCTTCTCCCTCCAGCCTCCTGCCTGCAACTCCCATCGGAGGAGGGCAAGAGGAGCAGAGCCCTTGGCGGGACTTAGGGGTGTGACGTTAAGCCATCCACTTCTGGAGCTCCGCTCTCTTCTAGAATAAGCCAGATTTGGTTTTCACTGACATAGGGGAAGAGAGCTATTGGGTGGAAGACTAGAGGGATGCGGTGTCGGCTGGAAGGGATGAGAAAGGAAATGAACTCTCTCCTCTGAAGTTCATTCCCACATTCAAGAAGAATTCCAGTTCTTTCCAGAAGCAAATAGCAGCTTGTGTCCTCACTTCAGCTGTCCCAACAACACTCTCAGCACTGGAACCCCGGGGACGCATGGCACCCCACCCTCCCCAGATCCATCCTGTAGATCCAGGTCCCTGCTACCTTTCCAGGACGCATGGCACCCCACCCTCCCCAGATCCATCCTGTAGATCCAGGTCCCTGCTACCTCCAGGTGGTCCCTGCTACTTCTCAACTGGTAGAAATTGTGGCAGGAAGAGCCAGACGGGTTTCTCTCCACTGCTGTGACCATGTTGTTAACCAAAATATAACAAGTCTCAGCTCGAGGTCCTTATTCTGCCCTGCTAGTGATATTTTTAATCTGGTCATCATATCACACCCAAAGTCAAGCTGTGTCCAGAAAATTAGAGTCAGGACAGAACCACCCAGACAGACTCACTGAAATTCTCTTCTCCAGATAACTGGAGTCTCCAATAGGGGATACAGATGCACCCAGCGTGTGATTGCCCAGCCAGGCAATGCTCCCCAAGTAGATGTCCTGCCCACTGCCTGCCCCTTCCTGCATAGGAAAGCTGGACGGCAGGCTAGTGTCTCCATCCTGGCCCTACCCTGGCCTGGGTAGGCAGCCAGGTGTGAGTGCCCACTTACCTGGGTGTACAGCTGGCCTCCCGCTTCCTGTCTGCACTGTCTTCACTGTGTGCAGCTGCTGCTTGCTGGAGGCTCTGGATCGACTGCTGGTGGACAGGGAGAGCTGGAGCAGGTGTCGGTTGCTGCAGGCGCCTCTGCTCCCTCCGCCCCTCCCACTCACCCCGCCTCCTCCTCCTCCTCCAGTCCAGGCTTGGCAGGGCAAGGCCCCCCAGGGTGAACGCTCCAGCTCAGAGGAGGTCAGAGATGGAAGGGTCCTGTGACATCAGTCCATCCAACTCCCCGCTTTGCAGAGCTTTAAGCTCTTAACCGGACTGGCTTAGTGTAAATTTGCTCCATGATGCCTCGTTTATCTGATCCTTTTTAGCAAGGACATTTTCATCACCCGAACCCTTAACTTTTCAGCTAAGCTGGTCCCTTGTGATCTTTGACATCATAACTCACACAGATACATAAAGCCACCAGCCTCTTGGGAATCACACCTCAAAGTGGTACCAAAGAGGCAGCAGACTTTGGGAGTGGGAGGGGAGGCAGCCACTAATGGAGTCACAGGCACAGAGTCCTCCGAGAGGGGCCGGGAAGGTGCCCAGGAAGCAGGAGCTCCTGGGAATTGTGTAGCCAGGAGGCCTGCTGGAGAAGGTGAGGTTGCTCAGGAGCTTTTCAAGGACTAGAAGGGGTGACCTGACCAGCAGGGTTGGGGGCCGAAGTTGGCAGGACAGATGGTTGGGCTTTTGGCTGGGCAGACAGATGGCAAGTGGAAATTGGAAATACAATGGCTGGTAATTGATTTTCTTAAGGAGAGTGGAGGGCAGGTGAGGCCCAGGAGATAAGGCCACCTGGTGTGCTTTGAAAGAGCCACCTTCTCTCTCCTTAAGGACAGAAAACTGCTCTGTTGCCACCCATAAGCAAGGCTTGATTGAAGAGTCAGGTGAAATAGAAAGGAAATGGGGTGAATGTTTGCTTCCAGGGGAGGACAGTGAATATTTACATGCATTCATTAACACCTTGCGGATTTCTACAGGGGCTACCTCTGCATGTGCGCTGGGAGGGGAGGTGTCTGATCTCTTACGCTCAAGTGTGTGTATGTGTGTGTGTGCATGCACACACGCATGCATTTGTGTGTCCTCCATGCGTGTTTCTGAGTGTCAGGGCTGGTCTTTCATTTGTTCGACAAACATGTTGAACACCTACTCTGGGTGGAGCCCTGGCTCTGGCACTGTGGTAAGCCCTGGGAATACAAAGGTAAGCAAATGACAGGGCCCTTCCATCATGAAGCTTGCAGTCTAATGGGGCAGGCAGATGTTAAATATCTAATTAGAGACCAGGCACGGTGGCTCACACCTGTAATCCCAGCACTTTGCGAGGCCGAGGCGGGTGGATCACAAGGTCAGCAGTTCAAGACCAGCCTAGCCAAGATGGTGAAACCCCATCTCTACTAAAAATACAAAAACTAGCCAGGCCCAGTGGTGGGTGCCTAGACTCTCAGTTACTCAGGAGGCTGAGGCAGGAAAATCGCTTGAACCTGGGAGGCAGAGGTTGCAGTGAGCCGAGATTATACCACTGCACTCCAACCTGGGTAACAGAGCAAGACTCCGTCTCAGATAAACACGTAAATAAATACATATCAAATTAGAAACCGCCATGAGGCTCTGAAGGAGACGTTGGAGAGCGAGGGAAAGAGTGGTGATGAGAGCTGAGCTTGGACAGGTAGGCTTTGGGGGCCATCGAAGAGTTTTGATCTCTACTGTAAGGGCAACTGAGGTTTGTTTAAACTGGAGGGCTGACAGGATCCAATCTGCATTTTAAAAACCTCATTCTGGCTGCAGAGATGGAAAGGATTGGAGAAGGGAGGCTACCTCCCAGGAGAACACCCCCAGGTGTTCGTTCTCATGTGAGGCCCTGAGCTCCAGGGGCCTCCTGAGCCACAGGGCTGCATTATCCCAGGAGGGGGAAGGAGGAGGCTGTGAACAGGGCTTAAATCAGAGCCCTTCAGCATTTCGGGTCCCTCTGCTGCCCCCTAGATAGCTCGTGTGCTCTCCCCTGATGGCCTGCAGATCCATGAGTCAAGGTGTGGCCTGCTACCCAGCCTCCGTTTTTCGTGTTGCTGTTTTCTAAACAGAGACAAGATCTTGCCATGCTACCCAGGCTGGTCTCGAACTCCTGGGCTAAGTGATTCTCCCCTGTCGGCCTTCCAAAGTGGTGGGATGGCAGGTGTGAATCGCCGCGCCCACCCCTGTTTTGCAGCCCACATGAGGGAGCCCGCTCCTTTCTGCACTGTGTCATGCTTGAATCCGTCTCACTGCAATGAAATGGAAATTTCAGGACTCCAAGGAACTGAGACGAGTTACACAGTTTTGACCACTCTCCCCGCTTTATCCTCTAGTAAATGTAATGGCCAATAATATTTAGCTATGTCTGGATCTCCAGCCATTGAACACCCCTTCTCAGGATGTCATCTTATTATACCTCCCGATAGCCTTTTCCTTTGGGAGACAGAGACAGGACTTTCACTTCCTGGATTAGGGGAATATCCCCATCCGAAGAACTCCGGGCAGTGAATCTGTGCGCGTTATTCATTGTTCCTCAGTGCCTTACGGAAAGGGCTTAGTGACTTTGGGTAGGAATAGGGTCACAATTCATTAATGTTCTCCTGTCCCTACAAGAACAAAACACATTGTATGCGGGTTCCACGAGGCTCAGGCCCCTTTAAGGCGTCTCTTGGGACGCTCTAACTCCTAATGGCATGTGTCAGATGGGATAATCTCTGAGATCCTGGCCAACTTTAACCTTCTACAGTCCTGTGACTGAAAGGGGAAGGCCCTGTGGACTTGAAAAGCAGTCCATGTGACTCAGGAGAGTTTCAATTCATTCACAGGCGGCCATTGCCTCTGTTTTGGTGTAAAACTGGCTCTGTCCCAGCCGAGTGAGTCCTCTCTCACACCTAATGGGGTCCATGTAGATGGATGTGCAGAGAAGGGTTCTAAACAAAGACATCCAAACATGCTCACACCCAAGTATACACATACACCGCACAACACCAATAGCGTGGGTCTTTGTGAAAGGCAGAAGACTACAAGCTGCCCTGTGGAGACGGCTTCAGAGACTAGGGGCCTGCTCTAGGCCTGGAGCTAGGGCGTAAGATTCTATTTCGACCACAGTCCCCACCCCGGAAGATGGAGCTGGGAGGACCCGTGGACAAATGACACCCCTCCTGTGCTTCCCACCATCCTCCTTGGCCACCGTCAAGGCTGCTCTCCAGTCCACCTGCTCCCTTGAACCATCCACTCTGCCCCGCAGCTGCCTGCCTGGCCAGGATTCCTCCCTATCTCCCATCCAGCGCATGCGTCAGCCTTAGTTCACGTCTCTCTCATCCCAACCTGCGGTGTCATGAATCCCACGTGACCCCATGGGAAAGAAGATCTTGGAGACCCCGAGGGGTCTCCAATCATGCTTGCAAAGCTGGCTTTCAGTGGCAGAGCAACTCGAGCCAGGAGCCAATCCTTAATCTGGGAGGGTCTAGTCCAGCAGGCTCAGCTGGCCCAGGGGCTCCAGGAGAGTATCCTTTGGATCCTCAGGGAGGAGAGGCTGGGGAGCAGTCCCTACTCCACTTTCCAGGAACGGATAAGCCACAACAGGCTTCAGTCTATTGAGGCAGTGTCGACCCTCAGAGAATATCAGAGCTAGACAGGATCACTGAGGACATCTAACAACAATGATAAAATTATAACAATAACAAAAACGGTATTAATCCTCACCCGATTCTTGCTATATGCCAAATAGTCTTCTGAATCTTTAGCTATATGAACTCGTTTAATCCCTCACAACAAATCCAAAAGGCAGAATCGATCACTAACCCCATTTTACAGAAGGG